CCAATGGGCGTGGCCAGGGATGGGTGTGGCCAATGGGCGTGGCCAGGGATGGGTGTGGCCAATGGGCGTGGCCAGGGATGGGTGTGGCCCGTGGGCGTGGCTAGGGATGGGTGGGGCTGCCTTAAGTGGTGGGGGTGGTCCAGGGTGGGGTTATGCAAATGAGGGCGTGGGGGCGGTGTCATACCCGTGGGGGTGTGGTCGTGGGGAAGGGGCGGGGCTTGAACCCAGCACGGTGGGGATTTGGGGAGGGGGTGGGGTTTGTCCCCTCATAGCCCCGCCCACAAGGGGAGGGGCGTGGCCTGAGTATTCCTTTATAAAGGGGCGGGGCCACATCGGGATTGGGAATTGTCATTGCCCCACCCTTAATTGGGGCGGGGCCACGTCAGAATTGGGGCGTGTCCTGACCACACCCTCACAAGGGGCGGGGCCACATTGGAATTGGGCGTGTCCTGGTCACACCCTCACAAGGGGCGGGGACATGTTGGAATTGGGCGTGTCCTGGTCACACCCTAATGAGGGGCGGGGCCACGTTGGGATTGGGCGTGTCCTGACCACACCCTAATGAGGGGCGGGGCTACACCGGGATTAGGGAATGTCCTGGCCACACCCACACAATGGGCGGGGCCATGTTGGAATTGGGCGTGTCCTGACCACACCCTAATAAGGGGCGGAGCTACAACGGGATTAGGGAATGTCCTGGCCACACCCTCACAAGGGGCGGGGCCATGTTGGGACTGGGCGTGTCCTGACCACACCCTAATAAGGGGCGGGGCCATTTTGGGACTGGGCGTGTCCTGGCCACACCCTCACAAGAGGCGGGGCCACGTTGGAACTGGGCGTGTCCTGGCCACACCCTAATAAGGGGCGGGGCTACACCGGGATTAGGGAATGTATTGGCCACACCCTCACAAGGGGCGGGGCCATGTTGGAATTGGGCGTGTCCTGGTCACACCCTAATGAGGGGCGGGGCTACACCGGGATTAGGGAATGTATTGGCCACACCCTCACAAGGGGCGGGGCCACGTTGGAACTGGGCGTGTCCTGGCCACACCCTCACAAGGGGCGGGGCCATGTTTGGAATTGGGCATGTCCTGGCCACACCCTCACAAGGGGCGGGGNACTGGGCGTGTCCTGGCCACACCCTCACAAGGGGCGGGGCCATGTTGGAACTGGGCGTGTCCTGGCCACACCCTCACAAGGGGCGGGGCCATGTTTGGATTAGGGCGTGTCCCCGGCCCTGACCCGCCCTTCCGCAGGTGAGCTGCGGCACATCCGGCACCTGCGGCCCTGGGGGCTGCGGGCGGTGCTGCAGGAGAAGTACGAGTGGCCGCGGGGGCCGGCGGCCGCCTTCGCCCGCTTCCTGCGGCCCATGCTGGCCTTCGAGCCCGCGCGCCGCGCCACGGCCCGCCAGTGCCTGCAGCACCCCTGGCTCCGCCCCTAGCCCCGCCCCCCGCCCAATAAACCACGGGGCAGCAGCACGGTACCGCCCGGCCTGGGTGTTTATTGGGGGTCCTGGGGTGTTCACTGGGGGCTTTGGGGTGTTTATTTGGGGGTCTGGGGTGTTTACTGGGGGTCCTGGGGGGTCTTGGGGTGTTTATTGGGGGTCCTGGGGTGTTTACTGGGGGCTTTGGGGGGTCC